CACCAGAAGTCTTTAATCCTTCAGATCTAAAAACTCACCCGTTCCTTCAAATCTTTCGGCATCAATAGTTACAGACATAGTAAACCTGGCATGTGGTTCACTGTCTTCTGAAACACAGTCAAACTTAATCCCTGGCCGGAGTTCGTTAAGAAGCATGACAGGATTCTTGTCTCCTGGATGAATAGGCAACCTTGGAGCAATGTTGTAACATGCTGGAGGAAGCATCGGATGGAAGGGTCCACCATTACTGCTCTGAACTATAGGTGCTTGAGACACAAGGGCAGTTTCTGTATTATTCACATCCCCTGAAGTTGTACTATTGTTGCTGTCCAGTGGTTGAAAAACATTAAAAAGTGAGCCTTCAGGTTCTGTTATGTCACTTGTAATGTCCAGGTCTGCAGAATGCATATTCATTGCTTGCTGGGCCTCAGGAGCATTCCTGAACTGCACAAAAGTACGGACGGCAGCCTCGGCCGCAGCATGCTTGGCCAACTTCTTAGATCGTCCTTGCCCTTCAAAAACCTGACCATTCACCTAAAAATGCAGGTGCAAAAGTCAGTGTGTGTACTGGAAACAATATTAACAGAAAAAAAAATAAACTTACTAATTTACAGCAAAAAACAGTAATGAATGAGTTTGTATTAAAAGGAAAAAATTTAGTTTTAAAAATTCTCCTGGTTTGACATACACTTTTAACAATGTAATAAATATGCACAGTTCTTGAGGGATGCTCACATAACCCTTTGGTTCTAGATCTTTATTACATAAAAAAGTATGGATGCTGCATTTCAGAAGCATATGTCTGATCTAACCAAATGGAAGAGGTATTTGCAAACACTGGTGCCACATGGGAGTGTTTTATGATACTAGGAACCAAAAGACCACACTTCTGAGGCTGCTAATACTAATTCAATGTCTAAACTGTACACAAAATTGGTGCAGTACAACTGTACTAGAAATCATGATAGAAATATTTTGATTTTCAGTCAATAGCATCAGTTTGATCTTAATAACATAACTGTTCATAAAAAAACTATGAAGACAACTGGTCCTTCAGGGAGAAGTAACAAATACCAAACCCCATAAACTTACAGACATAGCACAAAAGAGACATTTTCCTGGATACTAGGAAAATTACAGATTACCGACACTACTTGCACGAGTATGTTTCTGTTGGCTGGTAATTCTATTATTATTGGTTTGCCACATGTACAATATTTTGGGGAAGAGCTCTCTGCTGATGTTTGTGATATTTACATTTTGTAACGTTTGTCTACAACTGTTTTCAGACAACATTTTTAAGTAACTGCACAGCCTGCATTTCATTTTTCAGAAAACCAGTCCTTCTAACAATAAAAATACTTTAGTTTTGTTGAACGTAGTTTTCTATCAAAGTACATAAAATGTATCTGAAAATGTAGCAAGGTACAGTGTGAGAAAAACAAACTTTTCTGTTATGTATGAACAAAAAACAACTTAATTTTCTTGCTTTTGCTAAGGTGTAAATTTCTGCAGTGTTCAATACTAATTTATACATACATGAATCACATGCTGATTAAGTATTGTTACAAGAATGTTGTGTTAAAATTTTCCCATGGCCCTTCATTCACATAAGGATATAGATTCAGTTCTGGCAATCAAGGTAATTCATTCAATATATTCATACACTTACAACCCTTATTTGATCTAAGATATGTCATGATACCCCACAGACTTAGAATCATACACAGGATGTGGCCCAAGAACATAACAGAAGATTTACAGCCCATCAGTAAAAGGTTTACAGTATACCTCAACAGAAATTGTAAATGTTGGAGCATGGACGGGTCCGCTCATGCTCACTGTGTTGTATGTAAGTCCTGGACGTAGCTCATTAAGTACACACAAAGAATTCTTTGGCTGTGACTGAGTCTCACATTTCTTTTTCCTCTTTCTGGCAGGACCAGCTCCTAAAATAAACAGTAGATTATGTAGAGGTACATGAAGACAGCCAAGCCTTGCTGTCAGCCAGGAAAGTCTCTCCTTTGTTACAGAACACATATTATATCTACTTTGAAGCACAATACATTCCTTTGGCTGACAGAAATAAAACACAACTCACCATCAGAATCAATTGGAAGAGATCTCTTCTCTCCACGGTCCTCCACAAATATGACCTGTGAAGAAAAAGAAAAAAATAATCTACAACATGAAAATAAATTGTATCTTTCTTGTTTTCAGACTGGTATAGTCTAGACTGCAATAAATCACCCTGAATGACAAAACGCTTAATTATTTAAGAGTGTAACAAATATGTAATGGCAAAGCATTTTTCCAAAATCTAGCTCACTCAACACAAAGATTTACAACAATCTCATAAAATTAAGATTACTTCAGGAAATAGCTTCTTCTTTTATTTATCAACACCATATCAAGTACAGAAAATGATTCCACTGACAGGATGACTACAATTTATGAGGCTGCAGTCGTGCTTGGATTGCGTAATCGGTCGGCGCTCTGTTGATGTGTGCGGGAGTTATGCTCGTTCTTCGGTGGGTGATCGGCGAATCTGTATCAGTGCCGCTAGTAACAGCGAACTACGAATATTTCTCATCAATGATACATGTTATTACATTAATTGTTCTTACCTTACATCACAAAAGATGTTCAAAGTGACTTCCTTGTGCTTGCAAGCAAGCTTCACATCTCGTTAACATGTTTCGAAATACTCAACGAAGCTCTTCTTGGGAAATTGCCGAAATCAATTGTCGAATATTTTCTTTAAGTTCTTCTACAGTGTGCGGATTGTTTATATAAACTTTGTTCTTCAGCATGCCCCATAAGTAAAAATCGCACGTGTTCAAGTCTGGGGAACGCGGAGGCCACTGATCGATAACTTGTTCACCAAACACTTCTCTTAATGCTAACATCGACCTATCAGCTGTGTGAGCTGTAGCAATGTCTTGCATGAAGAAACCGTAAGTCTTTTCTTCATCGGCCATTTCTTGGAAAAGGGGTCTAAGTATTAAATTTACATAACGTTTACAATTTATCCATAAGTTAGTCAAATGACAATACAATGTGGAAGAATTCATAAAAAATACTATATATATATATATATACACACACACACACACAGAAGTGCAATTCAAACTATTATAAATTTCTTTTCAAAGAGACTAAATAAAGATTTCACATAAAGTTATGAGTAAAGAGCAAAAGTAAAGCTGTCACACTATGCACCATGTAGGCGCTTAGGGGGAGAGGTGGTATAGCTCTTACTCATTCTTGACCTCAGCACTACATAGGGGTGAGTGATCAGCATCACGCCCCAGCAGCGTTTTAACCCCCAGGAAAGGATGCTGGTACCCATTGAATAGGAGGCTGGGTGGGCCCCACGGCCAGTCTGGACCATAAAGTAATGAACCGTTTCAAATAAATTCACAAACATACAGTACATAAATTATACCTTCACGCCTACACAATACTACATAATTCCATACCTGAGCTACAGAAATATGTAATGACCATTCTTCTTGAAAGTTTAATTATTTATTCATTACTTCTGGCTTAAAAAAAGTTCACCTTCTACTTAAATAGCAATATTTCAACAGCTTTGTGTCATTCCTACGTGGTTTATTACTTACATCTGGTAAATTGTCTTCAACATTCACTCCACTATTTTCTGAAATAAAATAATTTCATGTCAAAATGATAATCATACACAGGTCTGCTACGTAAGAACAATGCCGCTAACAAACTTAGACATGACATCAAATTAAATAAACCTTTCACATTCGATTGAAGCATTTTTCTTTTACACCATACGAACACTTTAAACACAAAGGTTAGTATATAAAGAACTGCTACCTGAAGACGCATGTACTTCCGATTTCGTCTTTTCCATAAGCGATGACATCCTGGTAAATCTCTATAGTTTATTATTGATTTAAAATGTCTTAAATCGGATACGTTAATATGATATAGTTGGATACGACCTAAATTTAATTAGAAACTTTAGCTTCTCTTGTTGCAGATCATATTGCCCACCAGAATGAACAAAGCACGGAAATCGTCCCCTGTTATCGTTGGTAAACTACTGACAAGGTTGGTTACACACACGCTATAAATAGAGTGGTCACGGAACATCAGAAACGAAGGTAACCAAGCATGTTATCGAAGATAAAACCTAGTCTGTGATACCAATTTCATGCTTTGTATTTATTCAAATATATTCTTTGACCAATAATAAACTTAATATGAAATGGTTTTCTTCAGACTCTAATTAATATAATTGTTAAGAGTAAATGAGGTTACCTGTTAAAAAAATGCAAGTTTAATAAGGTATGCAGCAAGGACGACTTTTATAGTCACTTTTCGTTCTTACATTGACAAATATAAGCAATCGTGTCAGACAAAGGTAAATATATATGACATTGATTCTTTTAGAATTGAATGAATATACACCTGTATTCGAGGTGCAAGTTTTAATGCCTTTCGTTGAAATTTGCAGAGCAACATCGGGTCCATTTCGGAGAGCATGCCGATAGTTCTGGTAAAGATAATGAAATTGTTATACAGAAACGATGATTGGCAATTCACAGCACACGACGGATTTTTACAAGTGGGCCACAGGTACGAAATATATTTCACTTTACCAAGATCTTTATGAAAACTTGATGAAACAACAGACCTAAGAGAGTCAGTGTGCCAAAAGGTCTCCAATGTAAACTAGTTATCATTTCTTCTGACAAGGAAGATATTATGTTGAAGTTTGAACTATTTGCATACAAGGAGAAATTACTGAAGGAAGAGCTTTGTTTACAATGCTCTGATCACAATTCTATGTTGACTCTTGTAGTACTCGCTAGGGTCTTAGATAAGTGTAAGCAGGTGTTCAAGGTATTTATGTTGTAATTAAAGAAAATAATTTGTTGCATTCTAGAAATATGTCATGGTACAAGCCAAGCAAGGATGTGGAATGCAGAATATTAAAATCAGCACATCATACAGTTAAATGCCAATACAAATATAACTACATAGTTGTTACAACTATGTACAAAAAGAATGTACATTTAATTAGTTTAAATTTAAGTAAATTCTACAGAGTAGGAGTAAGATAAAAGATAATCTTTCTTTGCTGGTTTAAACACTTTTATTTCATTTAATCATCTAATGCTAGTTGGAAAAGTACTAAATAACTTGATCCCTGCATACTGAGCACCTTTCTATTAGGTCAGCACAAGTGCTTCATTTGCTTTTCCCATTATAGTACTGTGTGCACATGTTTGATTTTTATTAAATGGGCCTTTCTTTCTTACAGGTAGGGGAAAAGGTACCCCTTTGCTTAGAAATGGGATTGAATGCATTGGAGGTGAATTGGATGATGAATCAGAAGCATTAGATTGACAAGGGCTTGCTCTTCACATAGTATTTGGACTGCAGTGATGGCAAGTGCAATTTGTTGTGGAGTTTGCTGTTGCTGTACAGCTGTGACAGTGCTCTGAACCTTTACACCACTTGAAAAACAAAATTAATTATAACAGTCACTTTGTTGTGGGAAGTAATAAATCTGATTGTATGTATGAAGATTTAGACAACTGATTAATTGTGCTAGTGATTGGAACATTTTGTTTATTTAAAAAATAATAAATGTTATTTCTTTCTTTTAGCATCTGTTAAGTTTCAAGGACTGTTGGAATGCATTGTGCCACATAAAATGGTGTCATCCAAAGCAGCTTTAAATTTGCTTCAGTGGATATTCACTTATTTCTGTACTGCACCAATTGGAAGTGTTAAGTCAGCATTAGAATGGATTATAAGTGAGTAATACACTCTTGAATCATTGCTGGATTCAGTGTTTTTATTTATTAAGATGATAGAGCAGAGGGTTGAGGAATTAAAAGAAACTGAATGTAATACAAGGTTGGAAAGGTGCACTTTATAGAGTACACAAAAGTTACAAATGCATTCTTTACATTATATTAAATGTTTTACCATAGACATTGGTCTGATATCATGGCAACCAGACAATTCAGTCTTGCCACAAAGAGAGAAGATTGTAAGGTTATACTCTTTGGAATATACTGAAATCAGAGTTCTTTACACCACATTTCATGTTCACACATCACTGTGGACCTCGGTGTTCTCATGGGCACTTATGTTATAAAGTATAATGACATTGTGCATTTGCAGTGGATCATGGGTAATGACATAATCATCTTTCCACCTCAGGTGTTTGTCAGTTAAATTTGTATTATTGGTTTAAGGAAACTAAAAAGTGTGATTGTAGACTAAGCACTAATGGTGTTAACATCTACACAGAGTTTTATTTGAGCTGTTGTATCGGTGTTAAACTGCAAGGAGAAGAAGGCCAGACGATTCCCCACAAGTTTTGCATTAAGAGTGGAGAAGGGTATCATATAGTTGAGGCAAAAAATAATAATTTAAACTTGCCAGTTAACAATTATGAAGTTAGTAGGATTTGATTGTCAAGATATTTTATTGAAAAATATTATATTTATCTGTCTTCACTTATTTTGTTACAGGTTTGATTAAGTTTGGTTTAAGAGATGAAGTGCCAATCCATCATTTTATCATCATTTTTATTTGCTTCTTGAAAATGAGAGATTGGTAATGTGTATTTTAATTATTTATACATTTCATAGTTACTATAAGCATTCAGGTTAACTTCACTTTTGTTACCTTTATTTACAAGGTACAATATTGCTACAGTTCTAAACATGTCTCTGAACTGAACCATAAATGAAAAATTGAACTGCACAATTTTGACAAACCTGAATTGAACCTATGAACAGAATGGTATTTGAACCATGAACTTATATTACTAATTTAAGAACTGGTACAAATCAGTTATCAATTTCTCTGATGTGTGTAATTCAACAGTGTGGATATATAAAACAACAGGTTCTATTCCAGACATGTTTTAACAAGTGAGAAACATCATAAAACAATATTATCTGTGTCCCCACACTGTTCTGAAGGCTGTTGTCAACAGCAATTGACTTAGCAAGGAAAGAGGTCATTTGCCTTTCAGCAAAGCTTTGTAAGCAAGATGTTGAAATGAAACAGTACTGTTTGCCAGGCTAGATGTAGCGTAGACAATACAATAAATAATACAAGTGTTTTGTGAGCTGTTGTGGTGTTTGATTGACTGTGCAATGTTAACTAATCATTTTCCCTACTAGTAGCAGTTTTTCTGAGGTCCTGCTTAGTCTTGTATGTTTTCTACTCATTTTCTTTATAGGCTGTTGCTGTCTGCAAATTAATACATCTGTTAACAACTCCTAATGATGTCTCAAGGTGGAGAGTGAAAAAGATATTGAAGGTTGAACAGAAGCTAAGGAAGAGGAATCACACTTCTTGTCTTCTGTGGTAAGTGACACTGTTTTATAGCTGCATAAATTTTGTTGGTCTGACACAAATTAGAAGAACTAACTGATTTGTACTTATTTTGTATTCCTTCTGATTGCTAATATTAGTTATACGATGCCTGTCACTGGACCAGACGTTTTGATGATGATGATGGTAGGGAGACAAAGATGGCCTTTTTCTCAAAAATAGGTGATTTTGTTAAAGAAACATTTATCTTGGACCCGTCCTAGTCACAGTAGATTCCATAAACTATGTAGTTCAACAAAATTAAATTCAACAGTAAACCAGTCTCAGAGCCACTGTGCTGATTTGAACTAGTCATTGTTCCACTATTTATTCACTGTCATGCTCTTGCTACCAAAAATACTTGAGGCAGTGAAATAGTGTTTGGTGAAAATACAAAAATAATATACTGGGTTAAATAAAGACAAGGAATTATAGTACTACATGTCAGAACTGATGGAATTCTTAATGTTGTTTGCAGAAGTAAGAAACAGCAAGCTCTCTACATTTTTAAAATTAACCTTCTATTAAAAGTCATCTTAAATTTTACAAAATACTACATACAAGAATATAATTTAGTAAAGTTGTCTTTCCAGCATCAAGATAACCTGTAATAATGGTTACTGGGACTGAGACTGAATATTGCTGGTACCAGCTCAGGCACTTCATCATCCGATGAATTCATGGCCTTACGTTTATTTATGCTTGACGAATGTCTTATCCGTGTAATTCTCAAATGACTGAATTTACGAAACAATTATACATATATTACGAATCCAACAGCACTATACTCGAAACATGATCATAACCTATCAAAGTATTCAATAATTTTCAAAGATGACAACTTCAACCAACGTAAGTACGTGAATTATTTATTGTTAGGAATAAAACACGTATTCAAATATTCGGGGTATCAGAATCATAACAAACATATACGAAACATACACATTTATTAGTTAAACACAGCAGCGCACATCATAACAGATGAATGTTGGTCTTCTTCAACGCGTTTTGACTGTACTGCCATCTACTTCCATCTTGTAGAGCTCCTATAGGGACATTGGTAAACCAAAATTGAATGTAGACCTCGATAGCCAGTCGGTAATAAAGTAAACTACTATTCTATACCAATCCACCTAACCACCCTCTCCCCATTTCAGGTTCCCAGTTTTAATCATCACAAGAAGTGAATGTGGAAATTCTCGTTGGAAATTTTTTTTTAACTGGAATTGTTTTTCCACCAGCTGGGTGTTACATGTCTATATTGTTCTAAGTCCTTGAACACAAAAATTGACAGTAAAAAGCAAAAGGGTTGCAGTAACTAAAAATAGTGATTTTTAAACCATGATCACCAGCCAACACATATCACATTTATTTATCAGTTTGCAATAAAAAGTCAGGGCCCTCTGAGTCTACACTTTTCTGTCACCAGTTTCCAATAAACAACTAAATCAGTAAAGAAGAAAAAACAATGTTTAGAACGCATGGTTTTGTGTTTATGTGAAACCTAAAGAAAGTGTACACATTATATCGCAATTCGTTTGTGTTGTTAATAAGACCAATAAGAACAGAATTAGGTAGTAGTCAGTGAATAAATGTTATGTTGAGGAGATACGCCTATGTTTTTTCATTAAGGAGCATGTAGGTGTCTCTACCAGTCGCTCAAGTTACCACAAGTCTTTATCCAGCTTCTAATAGTGTAATGGGAATGGGCCTAATTCTGTCTCACTAATGGCAGTTCTCGGCCTGATACAACACTGTACAGTAGCCATTTGGTACATTTCATCTTGTTATATCTCCATCTGTATGTGTAGTTCTGTCTCTGTCTAAGTGTACTTTATCAGTCTCGGAAACTACGCACCTCCCGTTTGCCCATACTAAATTGCTCTCTGACATTTGCTGTTGCCTAATCTCATCCTTACTAGGCGCTTATTAGGCCAACCTTTCACTGCTGCAAGCAAGATAAATCGTGAAGAAACAATGTGCTATGTATAACTCCTAGATTTGATGATACAAAGGAATATATCGGCTTTCGCCATCTTTTGATGATCAAAGACAATAATGTATTGATTTCAAAAATTATATAATTTATCAAGGAAGATCCTTTACAAGAGAACCTAGGAAATTCTTTGAAAGGTTGACTGTATACTCGGCTCATCAAAGAATAGCCCACTTCCTTTATGAAAGTTATAGGTTTATCATCATGTTCACAAAAGCCCACCACTGGACTCTATCCTGATCTAGCTGCATCCAGTTCACTCTATCTATTTCCCTATGGTCCGCATTAACTCAGTCAACAAACAAAAACAGCCAAACTTAAACTGTGAGATCAAAAGATATCCAATGTTTTTGATACAAAAGCTTATCAATATTAAATGCCAAGTTAACAGAAACAATTTCTGACCTGAAACCGTCTATCTTACAAAATGTCTATGTTAAGAAAGGAAAAATTTACCATACACTATGGCCCAAAATCTTGAGACCTCAAAACAGACTTTTGGATGGTGGGCTTCATGCACTCTTTTCTTATGTTCATGTAACAATGCACACAAGCTGAGAAGTGTTTATTACAAACATAATGTATTTTGATCTTTAAAAGATCATCATTCTTGTTGGAGATGGACTGGCATTAAAATATCAGTATATCTGTGCACAAATAATAAATTAAATAAACACACCCATCATATTTGTATCTTAGTACAGAAATGCTGTATCAGAAGTCAATTGACTTTATGATGTGCTGTTGTGTTGCTGCTTTTTAGTACCTTTGTATCATCAGGCATACATTTTCACGAACCTCCAAGCAATAAAAAGTGTGCTTATTAAAAATGTTCAGTGTGATAGGTATATTTTATTTTTAGTTGGAATAACACAGTATCATGAATTTTGATGCATTTTCCAAAATATGCCATTCTTCACATAGCATCATGTCATGCTTTGTGTTTAACTTCCATAGACTGAAGATTGGTGTCTTCTGGATTGTTGCGCCACGTAGTCTGGTAGATGTAGACTGCGTGTATGTGCATTGCACAAAGATTGGAAATTGAAACAACCCAGTTATATATATGTTGATGCATTTTAAAATTAGTGTCATTCAGATTAGTAGATGTAATTGTCATATCACTTGTTTTATTTTATATATGAATATCATTTAAACACTCAGCTCCAACTTTAAAAAATCTGTTTTATGATTTTTAAGGAAATAGTAGCTGTTTCTTTTGAGAATATACAAAACTTGTAACCAGTTCTGCATCACTGCATGCCATGAGATCACGATGCAGTCGACTCTTTGTGAATTGCACTTCTAAATCGTATCTTAGCTTAAAACATTTGTTTAGCATTTTCCAGAAACCCCTAGTTCTTTGTGAAAATCCTGATATATCTCCTGTCAGATACAAACACACATAGAAAGATATAAGTTAAAGTTTATGGGTCATTTACAAGAACATGGTCAGAATCAATTGGGGTTCTTCTGCATGCTGGTGATAAATTTAAAAGGAGAGAAAATGTGTTGGTACTGCTGAATACAGCCGTTCAAACTTTGGACAGGGGGAAAAAACACCAGTAATTAATAAAATTCAAAATGATTTGCCACACTGGTTAATTAAAAAGCAGCTATTCATGTTTTATGTTATGCCACTTTTCTACTATAACATTCAAATAAAAATAAAAATGGGGCATAAAGGACAAATGCCGAAACTATGAATAACTCTCCTTCTGTAACAGAGGACAAGGTTCATACATGATATACGATATTTATTTGGCATCTAGCTCTGAATCAACTGTGCAAATGAACTAACAAAAAATGTATCTGGCTACAAGGCTTTG